GCGGCTTGGGAGGCTGAGGCAGAATACCTAGTTCAAAGCCAGTCTCAGCAAAAGTGAGGCACTAAGTAACTCTGTCTCTAATAAAATACAAAATAGGGCTGGGGATGTGGCTCAGTGATCCAGTGCCCCTGAGTTCAATTCCCAGTACTCCTTCCACTGAAAGACTTAAAAGGTAATTCAGTTGGCCTAACAAGGCTAATAAAAGACACTGTTCTAAAAACAAGACAGGAAGATGACTAGAATTACAGCAGGTGGATTTTGAATATGTAGACATTCTTTTCTATACAGGTATAAAACTCTAAACAATGAGGTTGTAGACAGCCTCCTTGTCTAGGTTTCTAATGCCTAGAATGCAGTAAGAATGATCTGGAAGGACAGCATTTCTAAAATTGTGGGATTTTCATAGGTGTTCCAGAAAATAGTTTTATGATCAAGTAAGTGTAGTCAATGATGAATTAAAGCAGGTTTCTTTGCTGAAAGTTGTCTTAGAGGTTTTATTATGCTAATTGCACCATGAATCTCAAAAAGAGGCACACACAGTGTAATAGTCCCCAAATTTTGTCATCAGAACCTTCAGACAAAAGTCACCTCCATCTTCCCAATTTTATAGTTGAATTCTTGTTTAATAATTTTTTATTTATACACGACAATGGAATGCTTTACAATTCTTATTGCATATATAGAGCACAATTTTTCATATCTCTGGTTGTATACAAAGTATATTCACACCAATTCATGTCTTCATACATGTACTTTGGATAATAATGTCCACCACATTCCACCATCATTAATAACCCCAGCCCCCTCCCTTCCCCTCTACCCTATCTAGAGTTCGACTATTCCTTCCATGCTCCCTCTCTCCCTATCCCACTATGGATCAGCCTCCTTATACCAAAGAAAAAAATTCAGCATTTGGTTTTTTGGGATTAGCTAACTTTACTTAGCATTATCTTCTCTAACTCCATCCATTTACCTGCAAATGGCATGATTTTATTCTCTTTTATTGCTGAGTAATATTCCATTGTGTATATATGCCACATTTTTTTTTTATCCGTTCATCTATTGAAGGGCATCTGGGTTGGTTCCACAGTTTAGCTATTGTGAATTGTGCTGCTATAAACACTGATGTGGCTGTGTCCCTGTAGTATGCTGTTTTTAAGTCCTTTGGGTATAGACTGAGGAGAGGGATAGCTGGGTCATACAGTGGTTCCATTCCCAATTTTCCAAGAAATCTCCATACTGCTTTCCATATTGGCTGCACCAATTTGCAGTCCCACCAGCAGTGCATAGTTGAAATCTTATATCCAAAATTAGAGTTGTGTTTATTTTGCAAAACTTGAGTTTGATTTTTCAACTCAAAGAATGAAGAATTAAGTTTTTATAAACTTAAGCTATTCTTACACCACCAAATATTTCAACAGCAGAGTCTCTGTAGTAATTATCACATTTATATGCCTTTATAGTTTTATAATAGCTAAAATCTTTGGTAACAGAACCAAAGCTATTAGGGATATGTGTCAAAGAAGAATCCACCACGTATGAGTAAGAAAGAGAAAGATACTAAAAGCAAAGAATAAATTCCATTTATCTATGTTTCATTGTAAGTGTTAACTATAATTATGAATACCACAGTTTTTAAGTATTCGGGTTCAAAACCCACAAGTTCTCTTAATTTATACCGTGTATACATTTTTTTTTTTGAATTGACTTAGTGATTTCAGAGAAAAAAGCCTAATTTAGAATCTGATTATTCAGACAGGGCAATTAACTAAAATTTATCATGAAATTATGAATTTAAAAAGTATGGGCTGGGGATGTGGCTCAAGTGGTAGCAAGCTCCCCTGGCAAGCGTGCGGCCCGGGTTCGATCCTCAGCACCACATACAAACAAAGACGTTGTGTCCGCCAAAAAAACTAAAAAATAAATATTAAAAAAAAAAAAAATAAAAAAAAAAATAAAAAAAAAAATAAAAAGTATTTATAGGGCTGGGGTGTAGATCAGTGATAGAGCTCATGTGTGAAGCACTGGGTTTGATCCTCAGCACACATAAAAATAAAATATACTGTGTCCAACTACGACTAAAAAAGATTTTTTAAAAAAGTGTTTATAGTACAAATAAATTTATGAATTTAGAGGATGTATTTCCTTTTTAAAAGTAATTCTTTTAAGTGCTTTAAAACACTTGTTTTATAGAAAAGTCATGTTAGTGTTGCTATTTCACTTTACCAACAAGAAAGGGCTTCCCTTCCTACGTGGGGATTTCTGCATTTCAGCATGCGTCTTTATCCTACCTGAAGTGTGTGGTGGATGGGTTGGTACAGCATCTTGCTGCTCCTGCTTCTCTTGGAGGGGTTTGGGGGAGGAGCTGGAATCTCTGCCTTACAATGGATTAGTAGACAAGGGAAGAGCAGCAACTGGCTGCTGTCTTCAGCAATGTCTGTTTACCAGGTGACTCTTACTGGTGGCTGGACAGCTGACTTCTAGAATGTTCCCTGCTTTGTTAGCCTGCCTGAGACACTGAACCCTGCTGCATCAGTGCCTACACTGTGTGTAAATATGACATGATTTCTGGTGAACACTTAATTTTCTTCAGGGTCTGGAATTTAGGTTGCTGTGGTTGGGTGCAGAGGCCGAGAGGGTGTCTCCAAGACCAGCCCCCAGGGAATACCCCGAGTTTTGAGTGAAGCAGGCTTACCTGGGTAGAACCCAACACAAGTGTTACTGCATGTCATTACTGAATGAAGGTATACATCCTGCGTGAGGCCTCCTGGAAGAAGGCTTGAAGGCTGTGCCTGGATTCTTCCATTTTAATATGTTACGTCCTTGGAGTAATAAATAATCTCTGTGTTCCAAGTGACTTTATACCAAGGAGTGTAAATTTCTGTTAAATTATTCTCTCATACCAAGTCATTAAATATGTGAGAAGTCATACAGCCTCTAAAACAACAATTCATAAGCCTCTCATTGATTTAATGTTTTAGAAGGTCGAGGAACAAAGCAGTAAGTGACATTGTCTCGGGAGATATGAATAGTAACCTAGTGAGTGGGTTTGTCAACTTTTGATTTCTATATGCACATATGTATTACACTGTTCTTAAAGGTGCTTACAGTCTTGTATAGGAAAACAAACATACATGCAATAAAATATGATAGGCACATAGTCGGGATTATGAAATACGTGGGCTAGGTAAAGTTTCCCAAAAAAGCCCAAGACGAATATTGATGAGGCAGCCAAAAAGATGACAATGGTGAGGGGAAGTCATTTCGGTCAGAGGGCACAGGTGGCATAATGCACGCATTTAGTAACACCCCAAGTTCACCTGATCTCAGCACCAGTCAGAGATCAGAGAGGCTGCACACCAGGCAGAGGCTCTCGCTCTGCCCCAGCAAGGGCCATAGGGAGTCTCTGGAGGCAGGGTCACAGGGAAGGCCTGAAGCGGATAGGAGGACTACTTTAAGAGACCACGTGCGAGGTGACCAGAGAACAGCAGGATGTAGGTAGAGGATGACTACCACTGTACCCATCATCAAGAGGAGCAGGCAATGCAGCACAATCACTTAGAATGCTAGAACCTTATAGTAAGACACACTCAGAAGACACTACACGACAGTTCCTAGCAAAGAACAGTTACATGAATTGTAAAGAGAATCTGCAATTATTTTATCTTAACAGAAATTTACACTCCTTGAACATCTATCCCTAATTGCTAACAGGGGAAGCAGAATTAATGTGTGTATTGTGTAGGAAATGACTGTCTTCCAATTACAAGTTTTCCCAGATAATCTCTATGTGAGGGAGAGAAGTATAAGTGTAATATCATTAACTCCAAAGGGAGGTTACTGTCACATTTTCTGTTTAACCACTGTCTATTAATTCAAAATAATCACCTCTTCAAGGCTTTAGCTTTTCTAAAATTCATTTAAAGGAACATAGTACTTTTAAACTACAATTTTCATTGAAAAAGAAGAAACCAGTTTTGAGCTCTTGTGCTAAAAAATATAAACCAAGAAAATCACACAGTCTTGAAACAAACTGGAATGATGATGGCCTGGCTGGTAGCTCTTCTCTATTACTAATTATCTACTGTCATTAGATAACTAGTAATAAGCTAATTTGCAAAAAGTTATCTCACATATACCATAATGTTCAGTCTAGAAACATTAGCACAAGAGGAAAAATAAGTTTGAGACTTTTACATGAGAATCCTGAGGACAGGAACTGATATTTATCTATAATTTTTGGCTTATTTTATTATTTCTGTGATACCTATGAACAACTATTAATTTTACATTTCTGATTATTGCTACATATTTCATATTTCTACTCTGTTTTTGAAACTGATGGTAAGTAACAGATAATATACCTCTAAGAATTAGGTATAAGTTGATTCTGTCAGTAAACCAGGTTTTGGGTAGATGACTGATAGGATTGAGGTTCACTTTAAAGTTCTACTTAAAAACATACTCTCATATCAGACCTTCAAATTAGAGATGAGTTTGAGGGTCATATATCATCTTGATCTGTGACATCCTTAAGTACTGAATTATAAAAAAACAGCTTTGAGAAATCAGAATCTTAAAACCTATGCAACATAATTAGAAGCAAGTTCATTTTTATTTGATTTCAGGAAAAAATAACGAAAACTTGATAATTATTACGCCAATCAAGTTTTTAAAAAATTTAAGTTGCATTCTTCAACAAAATACTCAAAGAGTACCCAATATTCAAAGGATACCATTTTGGATTACAGTTATTTTGTCATGACACACTTGAAGAGAACACCAGATATATCTGCACACAGATTTCTTTTATTTTATTCCCATGCAGTGCATGCAGCTAAATATAGTTTGTGAAAAGCAACCTGCTTTACAAGGCTTAGCAGAGTTCAGTAAGTTCAAAGGAGTATTAACTGTTAATAGGAAAGGTGGTTAGCTGTGGAAAGAGAGGACCTGGCAAATCCATCATAAAGAAGAAATAATGAAGGAACATTCTGAATTACCTCATTATTCTATCACCTATTGTAGTTCCTCTGATATTAAATCTAGTGAAGGGAACACAATAACTAAAGTCACTTACAAAGACTCCAAAGAACCAAATATGTAAAGCATTAAGGTTACCACTTTTACCATCAATCATCTCAATCTAAAAAGAAATTTGCTTCCCTTTGTGACTTAGGGAATTAAAGAAGAATATGTCATCCAACTAAATGTGTACAAAGAAATTAAGCAAACAGACACAATCACTGAAGAAAGATTAGAAGGAAGACACTGCTCTCAATCTCTTTTATCTTTCAAATAAATAGAACTGAACCTGTCACAGAATGTGGGGAACTGTACTGAGTCATGAATACCATCCCCTGGAACACCTACATTATGCTCCGCAGAGCTGAGCTGTGATTTGGGAAATAAATCATTAGGCCTGGAGCTGACTCATGTGGCCTAAGCACAAGAGGATATAGAAGCAGCAAGCAAAGAGTAACAGGGCTTTTACCTCCCTAGGAGACCAGTTCTTTTTCTTTACTTTTTTGCCTCTGCAATTTTCTTTTAATAAAGAGTAAACTAGAATCACCAAAAATATGGAATGAGTGGTTATAATGATGACTGCTAACACAGGTTGGCAAATTCACAGTACAAAGAATTCTGGCTTTAAAAACAATGGCCACCTTCCACAGAGACCAGAGTAGGTGGATACATCCACAACGCTATGCAAATAATATACACTTTAAAAAAATTATTAACAGGCAACATGGGATTAATCTTTTTTAAAAATATTTTTTAGTTGTTGATGGACCTTTACTTATTTATTAATTTATATGTGGTTCTGAGAATCGAACCCAGTGTCTCATACATGCTAGGCAAGCGCTCTACCACTGAGTCACAACCTCAGCCCAGGATTAATATCTTTAATCTCTAGGGAGAAAATTGTTAAAGCTTCTTAATTAAACTGAGGCTACAACTAAAATTATTCAACATCAAGTGAGCACTGCTTCAGGAAGTTTCATTTGCTTGTTTTGCACATCAATTTCATTTTCCTCTTAAATTCAGCAAGAGAAGAACTACCAGCCAGGCCATCATTCCAAGGACTGCTCCACAGTTGATCTGACATTAAAAACTGCATCTCTTCCGCCACTCCAAGAGCACACACTCGACCTTCTGAATGCATCCCATAGGCAGTAAGGGGCACATGTGCTAATCTCGTGTGCTGCTTTTTAATTCCAGGATTACAAAGCATATATGTATTTATTTCACTTTTAGATTCATTTTCCATTTAATATCTAATATTAATATTTAATATATTCTTGACCTAGACAAAGTTTAAGGGACCAAAATATGTGGTGATTTATATAGTCCATTGTCTTAAACTTTGGAATTCTGCCAGTAAAGGCATTTTCCACAGACTTATGGCTTGGTTTCTCTCTATATGACTGACTGACTGTAAGGAGGGATCTGCAAACTGTAGCCAGCTGTTTTTGTAATGGCCTTTAAATTAAGAACAGTTTTTACATCTTAAAATGCTTATATTTAAAATGTTATATAAGTACCTCATAATAGTCTCTACTTTGCTTCTAGGTCAGCAAAGCCTAAAATATTTATTATCTAGTCCTTTAGGAAAAAAATCTGCTGACCTCTGCTGTACAGGGTCCCAGTTACTCATATAGACTTACTACAGTTAATCAGAAGAGCATTCTGTTTAAAAATATCTATGTTAGTTGTTAAGGCCTTTTTTTCTAAGACATCCTTCTCATGCTTGATCTCAGTCCAAAAGTGAAAACCTGGGTCATTTCTAATTAACCAAATTATAAGAATGCAATTTTTTAAAAAAATCATTACTCTGCAATACAAGGAACTGCTGTGATATTTTTAGATTACACATGTCCAAAATAACTTATCTATGTCTTTTAAATTTAATTTTAAAAATTACATTTGGAAAAATAAAATTGAAGTAAAAATTAAATTGGGGCAATAAATTATGAGATCCATTATGGAGTTGTTCATATGAATTAAGGTGTAGGTTTAATTAACTATGCACTTTTACCATATTTACTTTTGGGACTAGCAACTAAACTAATGTACCCTAACTAAACTAATATGGACTGGGCTTTTCAAAAGGCAGCAATGAGGGACCTCTACGATATGCACACGTTTAGGGGGTCATTTCATCCATGTGTGATTGTAAGAGCCAAATGTTCCCGTTTTCATGGCAGCACTTCAGGATTCTTAGCCTCTTCAGATACAAAAACTCATCTTATCACATGCCTAAATTACAAGCTGATAAATAATAATTCTCAAGTTCTTAAGAAACAAAATTATCTCTTAAGACTTTCTTTCTTTAGAATAAAAGTCAACTTATTTATCTCTTTAAATTTAGAAGTAACAAACTGGCAGTAGTCTCAAGGATAAAGCACTCTTTTAAAAGTGCAGAAATATTAAAAGCATACTTAAAAGCATATTAAAAACATACTTAAAAAACATATTAAAAGCATACTTCTTATAGGTAATTCAAATTAAGTCAAGATGGTGCTGAGGAGGTTAGAAACTACAAGAAAAAAAAAAAGGAAAATTCTCACCATTTGTAAATTCTTGAAAGAGAAAATAATAATGCAAATCTCAAAGGAACAACTTATGTAATTATGAAATGAGTACTCTAATCATGCTAGTATCACTGCAGTATATGTGTTTGTGTGTATTTATATACATAAATACTATTTTTACTTAATTTCATATATTTATTAAATTTGTTTTCCATGTTTTAAATAGCTTGTATATTTCTTCAATAATTACTAAGTATCTTGAGGGGTAAGAATTTTATTATTCTTTTACTATTCAGTAAGTTTATTACTGTGACCTGTAAAACAAAACAAAATAATATACAGGGCAAACTAAGGTTAACATCCAAACTGAGCATACAGAATATAAATAACATTTAATTTTTAAAAAGGTAAGGAAACCAATGTGAACCTAGGGTGTTTTTAAATCTGGATTTAACCATGAGAGTTTATGCATAAAATGGGGTCACAGTTCTAGGCTGATGTCCATAATTACCAACTTTGGAAGATCCTGCTAGTCTAGTTTAGAACCTGGGTTTCCTGGGTTAATGAAGCTATCAGGTGCCAACTGTGGCAGATCCAAACCCTAAGAAAATCCCTAAAACATATAAATCATCTAAGTATTATGAAAATGGTAAGTAAATGATAATCTCTATAGAAAGATATTATAGTTTCTGGATTCTCTAGGATTCTTATTCCCTCAAACCCTCCTTTCTTATTGATGTCATATTATTGGGTTTAAAAAGAAAATTTTCCTTATGTCAAGGATATACAAAACTCCTTTTAGCACCTCACTTTCCTCAGCTTAGCATAAAAAGGTGTTACTTAGCCTGAACAGAAGATGCTAAATAATTACAATTTTCTGCAATTGTCTAATAGCCATTAAAAAAACATTAATTCTTTAAATAAATGAACACAGAAAGTGATATGGTACACATAATTAGAAACTGGACACTAAAATTTTGTTTTTATGAACAATACAGAAGAAAAAATTTTAAATTAAAAATATAACTTACATACATAGAAGACTATAAGTGAATAAGCTTAATTAATTATAGAACACAGTTTTTCACTCAGGGTGTGGAAACCATCATCTTGATTTTCAAATTGTACTGTGTTTGTTAACTATCTGCATATATTATGAGGTGATGATATTGTAAGGGACTCTGCTGTGGGTATGGAAAGAAAAAGAAGTAACTTTTACTCATCTAAAATATATATTAAGGGGGCTGGGGTAGTGGCTCAGCGGTAGAACACCTGCCTAGCACATGTGAGGCCCTGAGTTTGATCCTCAGCATCACATAAAAATGAATAAAATAAAGGTATTGTGTCCATCTACAATTAAAAAAATAAACAAATATTTAAAAAATAAAACAATATATTAAGAATGCTAAGGACTAAATGGGTGGTAGGAAAAGAGAAGATGTTTGATCCAAAGCAGAAATGCACTTGTTGTGCATTTGAAAACAGTCTCATGGCAAAGTAAACATTTCCCAAAGATGACCAAGGAAGGGCATATCCTTTCCAATTAGAGAAAGGGGTTTCCATTGACCCCGAAGGTCATGCTGCTCAGGGTTTTTACCTGTCATCTGTCAGTTTTTCTCTCTTGGAGCTGCTGCTCACTGTCATTGTTTTTTAAGTCTACATGGCCACAGAGAATAAATATCTTGGGGTTATTTAATACAGCCATCATTTAGTGTTTTCAGTGTGAGCCAGGTCCTATGACTGACTGATTTTTAATTCTTACTAAAATGTAAGCTGAATATAAATATGTGAAATGGTCTGAACAGAACCTCACTCCTGTGTAAACTAGGATTTTAAGAATAAACTGGATTTTCTGGAATAAGACAGAACTTACAATGACATGATATCACTGATTATAGTAAGTTTTCTACAAGTATGGAATGTATTATTTATTTTATCTCCTAAAAAATAAAATATGTTCTTGTGATCACATACACTGAAAAATGAAAAAATAATATGAACGTATCAGCAATTCAATTTTTTATTGTTGCTACAATATTTGTTACTTACTGTAATTTTTCATTTTCTAAATCAAGTCATTAAGCTTATTAAAAAGTCAGAGCCAGCAGGAAAGCAGAAAAACTTAACATAAAACAAAAACAAAACAGATAGAGGTCAGAGTACCTATAAGGCAATCTGACAACTAAATATAACTTAGCTTTAAGAACAACCTTTTGGTCAATGTCAACATTCCTTTCTCTTCATCTGCAAACCAAGGAGTAATCTGCTCTGTACAGAGGCACAGAGCAAAGATGATTTTTTATTTCTCTCTTAATGCAATGTGTTCAAAGAATATGCTATGAAAATAATTTACTGTGGGTTATACTATGAGAAACCCTTAAGGAAGGGATGAAAAACATCCTCTCTCTTATGTGACTTTTCAACAAACCCCTGTGAAATGTGCTTTTTACAGCTTAAGCTAATTAAAACTTTACTCACCTATCACCAGGTCCCGTTCGATACCTTGCACCTGGTATCAGCACTGGGTCATCATCACTGTCATCTGTGTCCTGGAGCGCAGAGTCCCTGGCTGATGTTTCCTCATGAGCCAAAGGACCGATGGCTTCTGTTTGGGACTGGGGCTCAGGACTGGTATTAGTTTCAATGGCAGCACTCTCACTCCTGTTCTGATCTACAGTTTCCAGTTCCTTGTCTTTTTCAGACAAGGTAGATTCTTCTGGAACCCCACAAGGGCTATCAAGACTGAGATCATTCCTTTCTCCTGAGCTGGAATCCAATGGCTCAGCTGTGAAGTTATCTAATTGTGCTGACAGAAAATAAAGTAGCACCTAACAGTTAGCGATATGGACAACATCACTTAACCTAACTTAGTTGCTGACAAAATAAATATGAAATTTCATTCCTCAACGAGGAAAGCTGTACAACACACCCATTTAGAGGTGGTCTCTAACTGTGGAGGACTAACACAGATTAAGTTTGTTCATTTCCCCATAAGAAGCAATTATGTAGAGGGAGCAAGAAAACTTACCTATATCTACACAGCTCTGAACTGGGTTTTCTGCAGATGTACCTTCCTCATATTCTGGCATATTCTCTGATACTTCTTCAGAGGCTTCTGGAAATAAATCAAATCATTATTAAATCTTAATTTTTTTGAAAAATAAATACCAACTTAATACTCCAGCTTCCCTATAGATGAAGTGTCATAGAAACCTTTGACATTTAGACAAAACTTTACCCCAGTACAATGCAAATATATATTTGTGCACAGAACTGTACAAATGCAATCAAGGGTAGATGGGCCCACTTCCTCTTCCCAAAGTCCAGGCCCTGAGCTTTGTTGAGTTCTATATGCATAATATCTGCTTTAGATTACCCCTCACTGCTGATATAACTTGTTCTTGCTTTTTCTAACCTAAAAACATAATTCATTTGTAACTTCATTTATCAAGCATTTACTGAATATCTTCAGTGTTCTAGTCTCTGTGCTGGACACTAAAACTTAACTAATGTTTGTGTAACAATATTCTACTAGGAAAGGGTTCTAAAAAGTTCCCTAAACGGCATTTCATGGGCATCATTCACACTTTGTTTAGGCTTGACTGCTTCTGTTTTCCCTCTATAAACCATCTACACTGTTTAACAATCAAGACATACTATGGATTTCACTGCCACATATGAAACTGGCACAGTTCAAATTAACACTTACATCTCACACACTCACATCAAAATGACCACTCATCCTAGTCCTGGTATCTACACGTGGGACTGTGCGCTTCACTATGCCTTCCCGTCCTGATGGCCTAAGGTCCCCCCCTTTTGTATTTGCTACTTATCAATGTAATAGCTGGGCTACAGTAGGTTAAGAGTAACTTGTTAAACATAAGAAACAAAAGTGTAGCACTGGAGGGAACAGAAAAAACAGGTGGACATCCAACACTGGGGATTCATAAAGACAAAACAAAAAAACCCCTTACTTGTTTCACTGTCTCCTTCTGGTGCCTGCATTGAGCTCTGCGGACCCAAGGATCCCTCCTGACCTTCAGATTTGCAATGGCTCCCATTTCCTCTAGAACTTGAGGCTACACTGCTCCTACCACCAAAAGACAAATGGTTCCACCACAAAGTTAATAAAAGTGAACTTTAAGGATGCTTTTTGTTTTACAACTAGAGAAGTATAGCAGAAAATTCAGAATAGAAATTAAAAACAAAAGATTAATCTAACATACTTTCAGTATAAAGAAGATTTTAAAATGAGGAACACCTGTTCGCTGTTTTGATGCTTCTATGATCTAGTATGCATTTCTACACATCTGTGTGCATGCGCACACCAGGGTATAAATCCAGGGCATCTAAGCTACACCCCTCTAGCCCTGGTCTCTATGAAATTTTAAGTGAATTATATTTGACTCTCTCTTTGTCTACAGCTAGTCACCAGACTTCAATTTTTAATAGTTTTATAGATTTTGATCATATGCCCTTTTAGACTGTGGTTCAGACTATTTTTATATTAATACTTGAATGGAAGGCTGTTCATTTCTTTGGTCTCTGAAATGCTCCCCCATTGATCCCTTCCAGTTCTGGTTTGTTGTTCAAATATGACAGCAGCCAGGTGTGGTGGCACATGCCTATAATCTCAGTGGCTCAGAAGGCTAAAACAGGAGGATCTCAAGTTCAAAGCCGGCCCCATCAACTTAGCAAGGCCCTACGCAACTTGGCAAGACCCTGTCTCTAAATATAAAATGGGCTAGGGATGTGGCTCAGTGGTTAAGTACTTCTGGGTTCAATCCCTGGTACCCCAAACAAAAACAAAACAGAATAACACAACAAAAACAACAAAAAATCAAATACAGCAGAAGACTGAGCATTATGATTTTATCAAAAGAGGTGATGGTTTCTGCTTTAGTTTTAAAACCCACCTGATTATAGCTGTGGTGCTATTAGTATTCTGGCCACAAGAGAGTACTAAACTAATTTAAATGAGCAATTTTCAATGAGTATTCTGTGACAAGTTTCGGGAAATGTGTAAGGAGGAATTGAGTCGGAAAGAATATAATGTATTATAACATGACAGATTAAAATTGAATTCATAAAAATGTAATAATTCTCTAAATTCAGAATAAATATGAAGAAGTAAGCTTAAGAGAGACAATAACTTAAAATGTTAATTATAGATGAACAGCAGTGACCCAATAAACAATGAAAATTATTACGAATTTTTGCCAAGATTTTATAACAACCCTTTTAGACTAATTGCAGAAGTAAATTTGATATTTTTAAAAAGCATACATGTATAACTTGGTATTATTTCAAATAAGAATATATACCTACATGAGTATATATGCAGAGAAAAATGTCAAAGAGAGCTATGTACCAGTGTTGCAAGTGTCATCTTAATAGGATCACTACAGATGAAATTTTTTATGCTGATTTGTTTATTTTTGCATTTCTTTTTAACCAGTAGGAAATAGGCAGCCATTGAGGTAAAGATAAGCCACTACATGTTTCTTTTTCCCACAGAGAAAGCTGTGGTATAGGTATGAATAAAATGCTTAGTGTATAATTCATAATAATTAAAATATTATGGTTCCGGTGTAGGAATATAGATATTCATAGAAAAGACACACTATCCAAATAAATACATTTAGCATAGTTAACATAGCATTTTAGATCACAGAGAAAAAAACTGTTTAATAAATGATACTGGGACAAAGAAACAGTCGTGCAGAACAACTAATGCTATAGCTCTATATTGTATTTTATAGGAAAATAAATTCCATAAGTGTATAGTTTTTAATATAAAACCATAAAAAAAGAGGAAAATAAAAAGAAAATTTCTCCCTAATTTTAGGAAAGACAAAGCTTTTCTAAGCATGAGCTCATAGGTTGAAATCAGAAAGCAAAACCACCCTAAGTAAACTACAAAAGGAACACCAAACTGGGAAAAATATTTGCAACATAAATTATATCCTCAATTCTATATTAAATAGACATCATAAGTCAATAACAAATCTTCAAAATAAACCTTTGAAGTAGGATTATTTTGTAAGCCTACTCATTTCTAGGTAAGAAAACTGATAAGAGCGTTTCCACAGCTTGTTAAACCAGAGTCCAAGTTGTATGTCCTACTACTTCATTTGTCACCAAAGAAACTAAAATGAAAGCAAGACACCATATTGGATTAAAAAAAAAAAAAAATAAGACTGCATACTTTTGAGGGCCCTTTTGAAAAAAAAAAAAATGGAATTATGACTTTTCCTAAAACAATGTTTTTATAAGAAGTCAGTCTGTTTTGTACAGAAACATAAGAAAAGATAAGGCAAAGTAAAGGGCCACAGATATGATTTTAAAATGTTAAGATCAAAAGTCAGGACTCATGAAGAAACCCAATGACTGCACCTTTAATACCTGCCTAGACCCCAGGCACTTTTCACTACCTCCCCCCCTTCCTTTCCTCACTTTTCTTGGCACAGGGAATTGAACTCAGGGGCTCTCAACCACTGAGCCACATCCCCAGCCCTATTTTGTATTTTATTTGGAGACAGGGTCTCACTGAGTTGCTTAGCACCTTGCTTTTTACTAAGGCTGGCCTTGAACTTGTGATCCTCCTTTTCAGCCTCCTGAGCCTCTGGGATTACAGGCGTGCGCCACAGCACCCAGCTTGTCATTGCCTTTGAATGGTTCTTCTGACTTGTACCTATGGCAAACCCTCAGTGCAGAAATCAAAACATCTTCAATTCTTTTTTCTTTTTTTTTTTTTTTTTTAGTTTTTAGTTTTCGGTGGACACAACATCTTTGTTTGTATGTGGTGCTGAGGATCGAACCCGGGCTGCACGCAAGCCAGGCGAGCGCGCTACCGCTTGAGCCACATCCCCAGCCCCTTCTTCAATTCTTCTAGATACCTTCTCCTTGCTGGTTGGCCTTCCCTGCTACCTCTCTCCCGTTGGTCACTCCTCTTCAGCTACACTGGTCTCTTAAAGATCCATGCACACAGGTCTGCTTCTGTCTCACTGGTTTTCTGCCTAGAATGCATGTAGGGAAAGCCCTGCACACACAAATGGCCCTCTGTTCAAGGGTTTGCCCAGTGTTACAACCTCCATGATGCTGACCCCTCCCTTGGTCTCCTGATCACCTCTACCTGTTCCACTTTCTCTCATGGTGCTCAGGACCCCCTAATACTCTACACAGAACACTTTATCACTATGTTCACTGTTTCTTTCACCTAGAATGTAAGCTCTGGCATAGCAAAGATTCTCTTATCTATTTTTTTCACTGATCCATTTCCAGTGTCTAGAATTGTCTCTGGAATATTAGGTATTCAATAATACTTCAAACCCTACTTAATGAAAGATTTTAATATACACATAAATGAATATAAACAGTGAATGGAATAAAACAAATATTATCATGTATCAATATAGTTATATGTCAATAAATAACTACTAAGTAGTGTTAGTACATAAGATATTTCATATTAATAGCATGTGATATTATAATATATAATAAAATGTTAATTTCAAATAAAATAGAGTTTATAAATTGATATAATTATGAAATTATATCAATACACGATCATACATCAAGAAATAATACACTGTTGATCTCAATTGACATTAATATATTCATATTAATAAATTTAAATAAAAAATGTAAATATCTCATCAAACAAGCCAGTAGGCACTGACAAAGAATATAAGAAGCTTACATGATTTTTTTAAATGTAAGAATCAGAGCAATGTATATTATCAGATGTCATTAAAGAGAACCTATACAACCATTAAATAAACACAAAGTTCAACCTTATTAGTGATAAATTAAATAACAATTAAAATTATTTTAAAGTCAAATACACAAGTTAAAAGATAAATGACTACTGTGAACACTGGCCTGGAGACCATCAAATGCATTCATTCATATGCTGCTGATAACAATGCAATGAGAGGGCCCTTCTGAAAATAATCTGGCAATACCTTTTCTCTAGATACAGTTCACTTATGGATAAATAGCTTTTCCTGCCTTCAGGTTTATTTATCAAGATAAGTAAAGTATTTATGTCAGATGTGGTGGCTCACACCTGTAATCCCAGCAACTTGGGAAGCCGAGACATGAGGATGTCGAGTTAGAGGCCATTCTCAGCAACTTAAGAGAGACCCTGCCTCAAAAATAACAAGGATTGGAGATACAGCTCAGTGGCAAAGCACCCGAGGGGGTTCAGTCCCTGGTACACGGTGGTAGTGGTGGCGGGGACTAGGGGATGACGGACGACAGAATTACAGCCCAATGAAAGGAAAATGCTTAAGTCATTCACACCATATCTATCTGATGAACTAGTAAGATAATATTTATGAAGACTAGTAAAATGGGAATATTTAATATAAGACAAAAGCAGGGGAGAATAGATGTATTCGGTATAATTAAAATTATGTTGTGAAACAACAAAAGTCCTACATAAATGCATATTTTTACATAGAACCAAGATTCCACATTTTTACACTAATAATTTGAAGGTTATTAATATTATATTTTCTATCAGAAGAAATATGTCAGGATAAGCAACATCATCTGGAAAATTTCTAGAAATGTAACTTCTCAAATCACACGCCAAACATAGTTGAAGTGGGGTCCATCAATCTGTTTTAACAAGCTCTCCACGGAATTGTGAAGCACACTGATAGTTTGAGAACCAACACATTATAGCAAATCAAAACATAAAGATGATAAAAAGCTAAAAATGCACATCTCACACAATCCTACAAAATGGCTAAGAACATCTTCACAAAAAGATTAACTTACCATTCATCTGTAAAGTTCAGTTTTATTGTGCTTGTAGTTGTTCCTTCTGTGCTGTAGTGCAAACTTAAAACTGGTTCACCTGTCCCTGGTTTGGGGCTCAGCTTTTCATTACTGTTATCTGAAAATTGTGTTTAAAACATTTGAAAATGTCTTTGAAACCAGTAAAAATATGACATTTCCTAAAATTTATAAAATTTAAATTAGACTGTCCTTGTCGTAATTCTCATATCTGTTATAATTCTCACTTGAAATGTCAGGTAGCCCTGCATCAAATTCTAGCACTGAATGACTCCTCTTGATTCAGAGGGAAATCAAATACACTGAGAACCATATTTAATTGTTATGGAAACAATATTAATATGCAGTGACATACATTATCAACCGGCACCTTCATTTAACAGAAAGTTCATGGTTATTATTCTTTAGTTGTTGGAGCATCGAGACTAACTCATGTGGGGTCCTTCAGGAACACCAAGACACAAGAGGCCAGGGCTCTGCACGAATTCTGCTGTAATTATATGCTACTGAATTTCCTGCTCTCTCAAATTCAGATCTATCCTCCAGTGAGAGATCATGGCCTACACTCCATAGAGGGGGTGTTTATTATGCTTGAATATTTTCTAAAACTTTGTAATAATATTACACATTTTGGTATACTTCATCTTCTATTCTTGACTAATCTTACAAGGAATTTGTTTCTTAATTATGGAAAGCAAAATCACCTTAAGAATTATAGGGATATCTATACATATAAATACTTACATATATGTCCATATATATATATATATATATATATATATATATATATACACACATGGTTCATTTATATAAAGTCTTATTAAATGACAAATAAAATCAACTCTACAGAAATTGATATATACTGTTCCAAAGCTCCTTCAAAGGAGGATATAAATATTCAAACATAAAGATAGCACTTTAGAAAATTTTCACTTTATGATGCCTGCGATCTTGGTGAAACATTAAAGTACACAGGGAATAAAATGAATATACAGTCAAATATATGACACTTTCACTAGCTGCTGCAGAAAGAAAAACTTCTAATATCATGATTAGTTTCTTATATTGAACACAGGACTAATGTAACATTACTAAAAATAAGCTGCTTTTTTTTGGTGGAAAAAAATGAAAGCAATTACAATTTGATAAAACCCAATTGCTTAAGGTTTTAGTTTTTTGCAGTGCTGGGGATTGAACTCAGGGTCTCATGCACACTAGGCAAGCTCTCTATCACTAAGCTAAGCTATACTCAAAGGCCTGCTCAGGCATTTTGATTGCTAGTTCCACTTTATATTACAATGAAGGACATAACGCTTTTCATTCCTCTTAAAGATGTGGCAGCAGAACCTCTGCTTTAGCTTTTATCATATAAAAGACAATTAATAAGACTTCAAATACAGAACTGTAGTAGAAGTCATCTCTTGACTCCCAAGAAATGAGCAGTTAAATTGACAGTACCAATGTCTTAACTTCTAACTCGTGAAAAACTCTGTCCTATGAAATCAATTCTGATCTGAAAACACTGTAAATCACAGAGTTGGCATCCCAAATGGTAAAAAACTTTCTGTATAATTTTTGTTGTAACTTTATTCTGATTATCAACAGCTGCTAAAAAGAGCTCATTACAACTGTCAAAGATTTGGTATTACATTCAGTGTTTGAGGTTATTTTACCAAACAGTAAAATAAATGAATGAATAGACTTTTAGCTTAGGTAAAATGATTAAGAATATATACTTTAAAAACATCGCTCCTCATCTTCATCATCTTCAAAAAATTCACCTCTCACTAGCCATTTGTCCTCACAGTTTATCCCCCTTCTTCAATTAGCTGCAACTTTTGTCCCTTTGCTGCCAGTCGCTATGGTCTTTAGGCTCCCGGCATTGGCAGGGACAGACAAAGATTTGGATGATCAAGGAAATGAGAAGCACTGTTGGGGCTAGTTCTTCCGTTTTCTCTCACAGTATCTCATAAAGTGTTTTGCTATCTGTTTTTCCTTTAAGGGTGAAGAAGGAATGGGAAACAAAAGCAAGCTCAGGAAAGAAGGCAAGACTGAATTTCTGAGGCCTACCTTGATTATACACAAGAAGTTTTGTGAAATTTAAATGCTCTTTCAAAATCTTCCTTTTGAGAAAAATTAAAGAGAGACAGCTACAGATATTTACAAGCTAGGACCATAGGAATATAGAAAACAAAGAGATCAAAATCATGCAGAAACACGTTTAAATTTATACAGTCCCATCCCCCCCAGCAAGAAGTCCTCTGAGATGATCAGTAACAACTAAAACTTTTTTCCTAGGGTAGCTACTACAGTTATTCAATATCTCAGGGATATACTGTATATTGTAAATCATATAAAACATGATAGCATTCATTTAATTATAAAATGATTACAGTTGACAGAATTTGCTCATTGAAGTTGTTAATGAACTCATCAAGCCTGTATAAAACTGGCCCTTCACTCTAAAAATGGATACTTCCATGTAGTTACCAAATCTCCAGACTCCTAAGGGTAGTGATTTCCTTATAGCCTGCACATAGACAAATTTGTGTCTCTGGCAGAAACAGTGCACAACACAGAACCTGTTTTCCTTTTCTGTGGTATTAGTGGGAGTCTACCTAAGGTTCAAAACTCAACTTCATAGCTTCCTTCCACCAGCCTCTTCCTAGCTGAATCCTCCACTGTGTGATCACATATCAGGTTGAATTTTCTCAGTAATGTAGAATCCTGAGCTAATAATGAATGCCCTCACCATGTTTGTGATAAAATGCATATTTCAAGCTACAAATGTTTAAGAAAATCTACAAAAGACCTAAAGAAAAAAAATCAAATGTTTTATTTTTACATTTAAAAAAATAACTGCAAACATCTAAAATTTCCTAAACTTGTTGTGTGTTAGAAGGTGGCTCAGCAAACACATACTTTTTAAACAGTTTTTTTTTCACAGCCTTACTTACATAACACACAGTATACATTACTGAAATGTTTCCTTAATAACAAGTAGGTTTTTATTTAAAAGCCTTAGGGTTTAAAACTTCACCTAAATGTACAAATGGCTTTATTCAGAAAGCACAGTCACAGTAATAGCTGCAATTTACTGAGCCTGACCATCAAGATGTGCATGAACACACATACACATGTGTTAACTGTGTTTAAGATCTTTGTAGCAAGTATCATCTCCATTTTACACGATGCTGAACTTTTTTTTTCTGTTACACAGCATTTCCCGCAAAGACTTAGAAATAATCTGAATAAAAAAATAAAATATATTTAAATTATCAATTTTAAATAAAAATATCAATTGTCAGTGTCAAAATTCCTCAAAAATGATATACAATTCACATCAGCAACATTGATATAACTGATAAAAGCTCTGGTAGCTCAACTATGATTTTGGCCCTGGACTACAGGAAAGCTATGTGTCTTCCAGCGCACATTTTTCCTTCTTCTAAAAACACAACAGGAGAATTCCCTTGTAGTGTGCTCAACCACACAGAAATGCAATGGAGGGAAAAAATCACTCTTAACTTGTTAATTAAATGGCTATTTTTAGATGTCTATTTATATTGCTTAGTATTTATAACTATTTAAAACAACTAATTAGCAGCTTAGAGTGCTATCCAGGTAAACTACCACTGACTGAAAACATATGCTTCAGAAGCAGAGTAGTAATCACATAAACATCAAGGTGAAACAGTATAAAGGACTTAATTTTCACAACAGAAAAGTCAATTATCATGAGACTCAGGAAGCCAAATTAAAAAGATTCTTTCTAGAAATGATACTAGGGACATTTCAAGCCAGTGTGTTGGCTTAAAAAAAAAAAATTCAAAATGGGTTGAAATATACTTTGAAAGCAATACTTTTACCTGTTATATATAATGAAATATTTTCCAAGTCTTTCACATACCATAAATTACTTTTTGTAATACATATACTTTGAAACAGTTTAATCTGTATGTTTCCACCATGAAATTATAATCATTAGTGGTGCTATAAAAATGGTACAAGCCATACCAAAAATTAGGTGTGATAATAATAATATAAAACATACTATCTGGTACTTAAGTCTGTTTTAATACTGATTTGAATATTGTTACAGATCTAAATGCTGATATTAATGCATAGATCCTTAACTAGGATACCCCTGGAGACCTGGACTATGTGAAAATTTAAATAATGCATTCAAAATGAAGATAATTAATGAGGATACTAGCAGTAATAACTTATTTAGAACTACCATGTCTAACATTGCTATCTGCTGCTGGGTATGACTATATATTAGCTAATTGTATAGCTGGGATAAGCTGTGGGACATAATAATAAGAGATTTTCTACAATATGGAAACCTATTATACAATATTTCTCATTTCATCATACCAAATATTTTTATATATTTATTTATTTGGTACTAGGGATTGAACTCAGGGGTGCTGGACCACTGAACCACAACCTTAGCCCCCCTATTTTGCATTTTATTTAGAGACAGGGTCTCGATGAGTTGCTTAGTGCCTCACTTTTGCTGAGGCTGGCTTTGAACTCAGGATCCTCCCGCCTCAGCCTCCAGAGCCACGGGAATTCAGGCATGCGCCACTGTGCCCAGCTAATTTTTAAAAAATACTTGTAGATACACTCAATACCTTTATTTTATTTATTTTTATGTGGTGCTGAGGATCAAATCCAGTGCCTCACACATGCTAGGCAAGCACTCTACCACTAAGCCACAACCTCAGCCCTCGTTATAACAAATATTTAAAAAATCAAATCTAAACTAGAATAAAATATATGGTGAAAACTTCTGAAAAAATGTAGGCATGACAACAATATAGTCTATTCAAATGTTTCAGCCCATCTTACTTGGATTATGTAGAAGAAAAGGCAAATTCCTAAGGTCTAGTTTCTAAACCAATGCAAAGCCTTCCATTTTCATAGATCAGGAAATCTCCAACTTCTCTGAAGATTCTATATTACAGAATACAATCATATGTATAAGGAACATGTTCTGATTCACAGAGGAATGCTGCTTCTTGGAATGGAATCTATCAGAAAACACCTATCTATCATAAAGACAACTGTGAGGCAAAGCATTTCACTCTAAAA